ACGGGAAAAAGAGACCACCTCAGCTCAGTTATGTTGTTTCCATTAACTACTTCTTACATATCACGTCAGAGTTCATCTCTGACTCTCATTTGCCTGCTCCAAGGATTCTGCCTTACACCTGGGGACATCCCCAAGCTTTCCTCACCTGCACCTTTACCGTGTAGGTCACACTCACCTTGGGTTTCATGCCTTAACATTCTCTGCCATCTTATGTGCTCCAAATGTGCTCGACTCTGTCCTTAGATAAGATCTCTCCAGCAGAGCGTCAACTCCAAAATGCCCTGCTTCCTCAATAGGCAAATATCAATTCCAAAATGTCTGAGTTCTTCGTGTTCCAACTATCACTATGAGCAGTGAAAGTCTTCCTCCCGAAAGAGGAACCCTTGCAAGTCTCTTAATTGAGAATGCTGTTAAAGGGTGATAGCTGGGAAGGGAGACTCGCAAACTGGTTAGTCCTCTTTGGAGTTTTAGAAAGATTTCAAGGCACTCACAGGCATGGTTTAGGACAATGAATGCAGAAATATTTTTCCACCACAGAAAGCAAGCATGCACACCAAACCAGTATAACAGGTTGGGTGTACAGTACTGCTGCCCTCCGGCTGCAACTTAGGAGCACAGACACTAAGGCACCTTCTGCCTAGCCTTTTTTTTCTTCTCCTAGCCAAACAAAACGAGTATCACTTCTACCAAATGGCTGTATCATGAGCAACACTCAGTACATGTGCCTACGGACTTTCAAGCTGACTTCTCCTGGTTGCAGTGCGAGTTAAGTAAATGTCTTAAAGATCAATGAAACTTTTATAGAGTCAAGAGAAAACCCAAACCTGCATGGGCCAGCTTTCAATAGTCCGAGGGAATACTGGACAACTCTTCCCAGGTCATCACTATAGAAACTAAAAGATGGCAATGTGGAAAGCATTTATGAGCCTGATTCCCCTTTTGAAAAAGGAAAGTAAATGGGTCCTGATAATAACGTGCCAAATTCCTCTATAGAATTATAGGCTCTGGACAGCGAGGGTGGAGACCTGGCAACTGCTTCTGAGAAATCAAGGACACTTTTCTTCATAGGATCTCTGTTTGGTACCATAAAAACAGAGTGGAAATATTGGACTGGAGGCCCTCTAAGCTCCCTCTTAACTTGCAAATTTTAACAATCTACAGATTCCCGCCCCCCCCCCCCCCCCCCCCCAGCTAATTCTGACAACCAAATTCTCCTTCGGTGTGTTAGCTGAATTTTCTCTTCTCTGCTGATTGCTGTCTAAAGCTGGCCTTGAAATCCCATGGGATGTAGCCAACTCTTCTGTAATATTTTCCTCTGAGTTCTAGATTTTTTAGACTTGAGTGGTTTCCTGGATCTAGAGAACTAAGGGCAACTGAGGTAGGAAGGAAGGCTATAATTAGAAGATGCGCGAACACATCCACGCAGCTGATAGTAGGCAGCCTAAGGAACAAGACTGTACTGAGTAGCCCTAGGCCAGCCATGGGCAAACTATGGCCCGTGGGCCGGATCCAGCCCATTTGAAATGAATAAAACTAAAAAAAAAAAAGACCGTACCCTTTTATGTAATGATGTTTACTTTGAATTTATATTAGTTCACACAAACACTCCATCCATGCTTTTGTTTCGACCCTCCGGTCCAGTTTAAGAACCCATTGTGGCCCTCGAGTCAAAAAGTTTGCCCACACCTGGACTAGAGTCTTCCCTACCAGTTAATACAAATTTTGAGAGAAGTGGAAGAAAGGTTAGTGGCCCTTCCTTGTCAAGGGGGTAGCCTCTGGAGAAACCTTAGCCTAAGGAATTTTCCAGGGAGTTGCTTGCCAAGAAGGAAACTGACACCCTCTCTCATCCCAGCCACGGCCTTTCACTACTGTCAGGGATGGACCAAGTGCCACTTGATGGTACCTGTGAGTTTGCAGATATTATGCAAGGAAATGATGCTTCATTTTCTCAGCAAATGACAATGCTCAGAAAGCATTTACCCGTACTATTTTTGGTCATAATATATATATATATATATATATATATATATATATATATATATATATAAATTTATATTTTAAAAAAATTAGAAAGAAAATCCTGGCATTCTATCCTACTCTATATAATTCTATTATGTGAATCTTGAGAATATTGTAAACCTTCATGTATGGAATCTTTACACAATTGTCTGCAGGGTTACATTTCATTGGGACTGAAAGGATGAGATTGCTTTTCATGTTTGAAAAGATAACTGAGATATGTTCACAGTAAGCTGAAGATAACCTGCATTTTCTTTTAGAAAAGAATAGGTTCCCAATACTATTGGAAATATTAAATGTTGATAGTTTATGGGCTCCACTAACCAGGACTCACTCAACCAGCTTCGGGGTGTAAAAATAGGACAGAGACCTACAGGAAAATAGTCCTAAAATGAATAATCATTGACAATGTCTATGGCCAGCCCCACAATTTCTGGCTAGAGATGGTGCAATGAATCTAGAAATCTACATACGATGCATGGCCTTGGAAAACCATTATTCAAAGTATATGATGGACATCGAATAATAATCTACTGTCATTTATTATCTTATAGCCAAAACACTTAAACCATCCACTTGTTTACTGTACAAAACAGTATTTGAATATAGTCGTTTCTACTAGAGAACCCTTATTCATAAGTAGAGCTGATAATAACTAATATTATTTCAGAGAACTTCAGAGTATTTTGGTAAATGCTATCAAGTCAAGGCAAAATTAAACAACATTGCAAAATGCCTTTTTATTCACTTGGATACTTTTTAAACTCCAGCTCAGTTACAGGACAGGGTGTTGCACAGAAAACAGAATGTTAGAGCATTACATACATGAAGATTTCAGGATAAATCTTGATTTCTTTTATAAAATATTAAACATACTTATCAAAACCTCTTACCTTCACATGTATGAATAAAGCTGCAAATAATCCCCATAGTGCTTTAATTTATAATTTGAAATGCATCCAGAAATAATTTAAAACCAACAACCCAAGTACTGTTGTTTCTTATTAACTCTCACCTGACTAATAGGTTCACTTAATAATCTTAAGACAAATACAACTGGAATGGAAGCATTTCAATATCCCAAAAAGATATATCTGAGCTCTTTGTAGATCTACCAGGAATACATTGACTCAAATGAGATCAGAAGAGAACACATTCTCTATTGAAAGGTTTTCACAGAATGCATACAGGAAAATACCCTGGGAAAGAACTGATCTCACACGCATTTCCCAACTATAGGAGATTTATGGATCTAAGCACCTCATTTTCTAACTGAGACCATGACATTCAAATTATTTACTATATCTTTTGTTACAAACTTTGTGCATTTTTATATATACTGATTATTAATTCTAATATATATATATCACCCTTTTACAGTGGTACATGGTAACAGAAATGTAACATACATAGAAGTATCAGGAAAAAAACAACAACAGAAAAGCTATACATATTTTAAGACTCTAAAATAAGAAATAAATATTACCCATGATTCTGACACAAAAAGGGATGATAAGGGGACAGAGGAAAGGCCCATTTTCCTTAGTTTATTTTGGTCCCTTGAATGCAGACAAAGGTGATGTGCCCACACAGTTCTAGGACAGGCTGTGCAGATGGCTGCCTAGCAGTCATGTATGTTTCACACAAAGTCATTATTATATGAATAGCATATACTTTTTCAAGGGAATATATTACAGACACAATTTAGTAAGATACAAGTAAGAATCATATGCATAATATTTTGTCCATAAAACACATAAAAATAAAATATTTCATAGAATTATGCTAAAGGAGTCTTTTACCTCGTAGTTTTTCTTCAGTGGAATGCACTAAATGGCTTTTTTTTTGTAATCTTTAAATTAAAAATGCTTTACAATAGCACTTTATGCAGTGTTTCAAAAACGTTTTTAGGAAACATACAGAACTAAAAATAAGCTTCTGAGATTCTTAAGCCGGTTAAGTGGAGAATTTATTAAAGAGAATAAAGAAGATAATTTAAATCTATTAATTGGATTCTATACTTTTATAACCAGGCATGTCTATGATCATCTCATTAGTATTCTTGCATGTGTTATATTTCACAGATGTAGTTTTATATGTTTGATTACATGCACTTTGTGGAAAACTCAGTGGCTTGGGGATTTCCTTGGTAACTTCACAAGAACACAATAAAATAAAATAAAAATGGCATTATAAGTAGATTTTTTTTTAAATCGTGATTAAAGTGTTACTTGTAAAGTGGTAAATCATAAGAGAGTAGACTACTAAAAATCATATAAGCATATAAGCAACATATAAACATTCGGCCCACTTTCTTTTTTTTTTTTTTTTTTTTTTTTAGGAAAAGATTTTCCTCACTCAGAAAAGTGAAACATGTGAGGAACCTTGTACTTGTTTCTATCAACAAGCCTAACCATAGCAGCCGTGTCAAGCCAATGTCAACAGAGCCAGTGCCTTCAAAGGACAAAGGTATCTGATTAAGTAAGGCATGTAAAACAGACCGCTCTCCCCACTGACTTGCTCTCTGCTGAGATCCTGGTTCCCACCTTTTAGAAATAGTTCCATTATTACAAGGGCACTTCGCTGATAAAACCCAGAGATGGAAAAACTTGATTACAAATAAAAATTGTACAGGTAGAGACAAAAATCCGTGCTCCATCTCTCTTGGGAACGCTCCAAAATGAATAATGAACCAACCAGAGGTCGGTTGCACCATTGATCCAGCACTACGCTGGGCAGTAATAAGCATAAGCATCTCCCTGTGCTCCCTTAATGTGTCTGTCTGTGTCAGTCAAGTTGCTGAGCAAAACAGAGACAGCCAGCTTCTTCTGAAACAATTCCCACGTTTTCTCCCCACTGTCAAAACACACATTGAAACTTAACCCAGTACACACACACACACACACACACACACACACACACTGTAATGGACACTGCTTAAATTTCTGACTGCAGAAATTCCCGCGGCTCTTGGCACTTACCTTGCAAGGATGTGTTAGGTAAACTTGCTTCATTCTCTCCCATTTTTTATCTCTTTTTAAAGGGGGCGAACAGTTCCAAGTTGTGTCAGTTACCCTGCGAGCGCCCTGACCTTCTGACTTTCTGCTGTAGTAGTGTAACAGTACACTACCTGCTTTCTTCTGTGAATAATTACCATTCTGCTTCCTGAGTTACCTGGGCTTGCAGGACCTGTTTTACTATGAAGTGAGATCACATCCTTTGATCCAATGTGCTGCTATTATAATGTGAGCTTCACAAAACGTGGCTTTGTTTCCGTTTTAATATTAACTTTTAATTCCTTACTTTCACTTTAGTCCCGAAACCGATTTTCATTTTCCTCCTGAAAGTGTGTGGATACTACCAACCCACCGCGGTGCAGAGCCAGAGTTTCATTTGTTTTTTAGAGTTTCTGATCTGTTGCTCTTACAGAAATCAAATAAAATTTAACATGAATTTTGCAATGTCCATATTTAAAAATACAGAGAGCTAAGGAAGAGCCTGGGAATGAATATTGTGCTGTGGTAGAAAGACAGGCCACTACTAGTTGTTCAGCTAGTTGAGGGATGCAACATCTTTGAGACTGGACTTCCTCAACTATAAAATATAGGTAATATCTATTTCAGAGGATTATCACAAAACTTGAGAGAGTAATGGATGACTGCTAAACATTGTCCATGGCAGCTAATAAGCAAACAAGCAACATTTTCTCCTCCTCTTCTTCGTCTCTCCTTCACTTCTTCCTATTCTTCTATCACCTTCTTTCTTGTCTCCTTTCTCTTGTCCTTCTCCCCTTTCTGGCCAGTAGAAATAAGGCTGAAATAGAGCACTGGTGTCTGATGTCGCTATGTTCTGACATTAGCTGTGTTACTTATTAACAGAGAGTCTTAACGAAATGACTTGGTGTGTCACAAGTCCTCATTTATAAGTGGATACCAATATCTGCATTGCTTTTTTTCATAGGCACATAGTGAGCATGACTCAAACTATTGTGCCTAAAAAAAAAATAATAATCTCTAGCAAAAATTAGGGACAAATTAGAGATTTATCTTTATTCATTTGTAAGTGAGAGAGAAAGTAGACCACAAAAATTAGGCAATATATTTAAGCTCTATCTCCCATTAGACATCTAAAATTAAAAACAAACAAACAAAAAAAAAAACACCTCTACTTTCTCCCTCTAGAATTCCTTAACTGTTAGCTTTCGTCAGACTAGTTAAAAAAAAAAAAAGAAAAAAATATATCTATATAAAATCCAAGTCGCAAATATCTCCTCTTTTAATAGTTCTTTTATTTTCAATTTGGAAAAAATCTGCATACCACATTTGCTCGCTTATTAATGAAAGGCTGACTACATAAGTTATGTCAACAATAAAAAGGGCAAACACCTAGACAAGTTTTCTCAAAAGTATAAGAAATGAAAACAAACATGACATTAGCAGATTCTCATCAGAGTTCATTTAGAGTTCTTCCTTTCATTACCTCTCTTTGTCTCAGTTTCCCCATCTGTTCAATGAGGGAACTGGACCATTTATTATCTAAGGTTCATTCAATAATTTTAGTATCACAAATCTCTGATTTAAAATGATAGTTGTGGTTCATTTCAAGCTAGTATACTCCTTTGCCTAGTACAATTGCATGATGTAACATATATACCATGCTACACGGGTCACCAAAAGTAGCCTGAAATTGAATGTTTGCCAAAACAACATTATAATAAACACATTTTGACTTCCGCATAAGAGAAGAAACACACATATCAATCCTCACTCATTATGACAAACTTGCTAATGGATTTACATATCTGCCCTGGGCACCTATAAAGTAACACCTATAAAGCTCCCATTATCTAACAACTGAATTATGGCATGTAGGAAGTCATTATGAAAGTAGAAGAGTTCTATATCTGAGCCAAAGAAAAATGTAAAAATATAAACACCAGAAACCTCAAAAGTTTGTGTTGCTGAACAGACATTCAGCTATACTGAAATAGTTTCAATACTAATAAAGCACATCTCTCTCTCTCTTCCTCTCCCCTGCTTTCCCCTCCAGTTCCCTTGTGTCATTGCCTCCCGCCCCACATCTCTCTGGCCTTTAATGCCTGGAAAACTGGTTCCTTCATCACTTGCCCTTTGCCTAATTCATATGCAAGGAATCTTCTTGATCCTACTCTAGGTTGAGGTTTTGTGAGTCCTAGAATGAGTCACCCCAAGATGTGCTGCTGTGGTATGTAGATTGTCTTGAGCTAAAGGCAACTTGAGCTGCAGGATCAAGGGAAATTTATGTCCCCCACCCTTAACTGCCTAGAAGAATTTGAATTAGAGCCCTTGGCCATCAGAGATGATCACTGATAACTTTTGACCTAACTACATGGCAGGGCGAACTTTTATTTACTAAACATCTGTTCTCCTGACCATCCTGCAATGACCCTTTGAGCCCCCAAGATGCATTACCTCATTCCTGGCTCAGAATATCTTATATACCTGATAGCCCTTTTTATCACTAAATCTCTCCTGCATGCGGGGTCTTTGACTGTCTCAGGTATGAGGGTTTGCCATACATATGTATGTATGAAATTTGGTTATTTTCTCTTGCTAATCTGTCTCATGTCTCTTTGAGTATTAGACCAGCCAGAAGAACCTTAAGGGTAGGGGAAAGTTAGCTCCTCCCACAGTCTCTTTTTTGTACTTTCCAGATGCCCCTTGACAGCACAGAATGTCTCCTCTCACTATCACACTGTATTGTATGCAGTGTTTAATTACTTCTGTCCTTGAATCTGTATGTCAGAGACCATTTCTGTGGCGATCACTTTATCTCTAGCGCCTAGTACATTTACTACTACATCCTGTGCCTTCAACATATTTTGTAAAGATACATAAAATTACCATCATCAGAAAAGGTGAATTAAAGAATCTATTCCAGGAAAGAAAAATGATAAAGTTTAGAAGTTCATCTGCCAGGGCAAATTATTAAGAGCTACAGGGATAAAGGAATGAGGATAATTATGAAAGTTTTCAAAAAAGAGTCAAAGATACAAGTAAATGAAAGAAAAAAATAATAGTAAATGCATTACTTTAAATACACTGATAGAGAAAACCACTGGCCTAAAATGGAGTCACTTGGGCTAAAGTCCATTATACCAACACTAAATTTTTAATATTTAACCTTAACTGATCTTTCAGTCCTTCCCAGAAACATAATCTTAATCCAGCAGTCTGAAAATTTCTGGTCAATACCAATGAGGTAATCAGTCCCACGGGCCCTCTCTAGCCCCCATAGAAAGAAGCAATCTGTATGACAAAACCTTTGCTTTTCCTCTGGAACCACCCCTAAAAAAGATGTCCTGGTCTACAAATAATCATTTATCTTCTTCTGTTAATAGTTCCCTTGCTCCACCCTTCTTCCTACAAAAACCTTTCATTGTGTACAACCCCGCAGAGAGCCCTTCTAGTTGCTAGATAGGACCCTGCCCCATTCATGAAATGCTTAATATTGCCAATTAGATCATTAGATTTATTTAGTTGATTTTGTTTTTAGCAACACACACACACACACACACACACACACACACACACACACACACACGGCATGGGTGGCATTAGGCAGAGTAGCTTCACTGAATGTGAAAAGGAAACTAACATAATTATTAAAATTATCAACATTTTCTGAATCATGGAAAGGAAGTCTATGAGACTGAATATGTCTTTAAATATATTCTGAGGCTACTATAACATTACTGAGCACATTTTTTAAAAAATAATTTTATTGATTTCAGAGAGGAATGAACAGAGCGATAGAAACATCAACAATGAGAGAGAATCATTGATCAGCGGCCTCCTGAACACTCCATACTGGGGATTGAGCCTGCAACCCAGGCATGTGCCCTGACCGGGAATCGAACCGTGAACTCCTGGTTCATAAGTCTATGCTCAACCACTGAGCCACGCCAGCCGAGTCTGAGCATATTTTTTAAAAACAACTTAGATGACAAAATAAAAAGTGTTTAACCACATCACCTATTGTGTTTCCAACCTTCTATTTCTAAAGCAAACTCCAGGAAGAGTGTGGGCAAAGGAAGATGTTCCAGATGCATCCTTTATCATTCAGTTTGCGGGTTCTACCGAAACTGCACAAGAGGAAGAAACCAGTATTGCAGTTTAAACTTGTGGGTAGCTATTGAAATGTTTAGTTGATTTTGAAGTAAAGATATATGTGAAAATTTGAAAAAAAAGAGTAATAATTTAAAATTCTGAATGTTGGCATTATAGATTATAGAACACTAGAGGCCCGGTGCACAGATTCATGCAGTGGTGGGGTCCCTCAGCCTGGCCTGCGCCCTCTCGCAATCTAATAACTCTCGGAGGATGTAGTAGTTGTGATGCCGCAGGCTGCTGGTGAGGAGCCCGAGCCCAGGCTAGGCACCATACCGCTCCCGCTCATTTTCGGCCCTGCTGTGCCCGCCGCCGCCACAGGGTAGCGCTGCCGCGGAGGCAGGAGAGGCTCATGCCACTGCAGCTGCACTTGCCAGCCGTGAGCCAGGTGTCTGGAGCCCGTCAACTGAGTGGTGCTCCCGCTGTGGGAGTGCACTGACCACTAGGGGGCAGCTCCCGTGTTGAGCATCTGCCCCCTGGTGGTCAGTGCATGTCATAGCAACCAAACGGTCATCTGGTCGAATGGTCAACCAGTCGCTTAGGGTTTTATATATATAGATGAGACTCTGGGACCCAGGATGGATCTTTGATTATAGTTTGAAGAATTAGGTAGATGTGCCTGAAGGGTACCAGAATATGTCACCCTAAAATATACCTCTAGGACATGTGGATTATTTTGAGTAATTGAGAACCTGGTTCTCCTTACCCCACTTTACTGCCTAAAAGTAAAATGTAAATGTCTCCTTTTGTAAAGAAAACTTACATGCATACAGGAAATTTCCATTTAAAAGTATATCTTTCCTACTTCCAGGAATATATCCTAAGAATCCTGAAACACCAATCAGAAAGAATATATGCACCCCCATGTTCATAGCAGCTCTATTTACAATAGCTAAGTTCTGGAAACAGCCCAAGTGTTCATCAATAGATGAGTGGATAAAAAAAGCTCTGGCACATTTACACCATGGAATATTATGCAGCGGTAAAATCGAAGGATCTCTTACCCTTTGAGACATCCTGGAGGGACCTGGAGAGTATTATGCTAAATGAAATAAGCCAGGTAGAAAAAGACAAGTATCACATGATCTCACTAATATGTGTAATCTAATCAACAAAATAAACTGACAAACAAAATAGATCCAGAGACATGGAAGCATGGAACAGACCAAGGAATTTAAGAGTCAAGGCAGGGGTTGGGGTATGGGAAGAAATTAACCAAAGAACTTAGATGTATATATGCATAACCCATGGGCAGAAACTATTGTGGTGAAGTCCTAGAGAAGGTGTGGGAGCTTGATGGAGGGGGCCAATGGGGGGAAAAGGGGATAT